TTCAACAGTTCGTGGTAAATTCCGATATTACAGAAATGCACTTACCGCATGTCACAGGTCAACAGTCATGGCTCAAAAAAAAGTCATCCGTCCACTCCAAGCAGAGTCTTTTTGATGGCAAGCACCTGTACTGTTGTGGTTATGCGCGTAGCTTATTCCGCGCATTTTTTATGCTTTCGCTTGTTAAAGGTATGAAAAAAATGGAGTACAAGGGTAAGCAATGGCATGATAAATGCTTCTGCTGTGCGCTATGCAAGACTCCGATTGGTACCAAAAGCTTTATACCGAAGAATGATGAGGTGTATTGTGCGTCGTGCTATGAAGAAAAATTCGCTACGAGGTGTTGTAAATGCAAAAAGGTAAATTTTCCTTAGCAAAGAAAAACAAGAACCTTTCCGTATTCATTTCCTGTGAAAGATGAAAGCACTGGGAAGTTGTTCGAGTGGTAACAAATACTAACAGCGACCGCGCATCAGCAAAGCTATTGATTGCTTTTGAGGGTCACTTAGTAGCAAGATGATGTTGGATTTAACTCCCTGCCATGCGCTAGTACCAATTTACTATCGAAAAAATGAATGTGAATTATAAAAGGATTAGTTGTGCCAGTGTGACGAAATTGAACCCTCAGTCTTCAGCTTTTGGTAGTGGCAGCAAATTTTGCTTCAAACTTGCTACGAATGATAAATTGCGGCCGTCAGAAGGCCGAATCGTAACTTTAAAAGAAGTGGACGGTCCAAAGAAGTCAAATACTGCTGAATTTTGATGGCGGAAAGTCAAGCATTTTTAGGATAAAACTGCTCCAGTGAGTGGTACTAAAGCATGGATCGATTGGGTAATAGAAACACATCACACATCGAAAGAACCAAAGAAAGGGAGAAAAGTAAAATGAAGCCGTTTGTTCCCTACTCGGCCCATACCACCACCCATTTGCAAAACCCAAAATTGAGTGCATTCTGGACTGAACTCTATCCAGTTGCCTCGGAAGTAATTAGATCGTTTTTATGCGTCTTTTGAAAAAAAAAATCATTTCATACTTCTAGCCGTACCCGTCCGTGCCTGGCTTGCATGTTAGATTACTGGGCTATTTTGTTGCAAGGGTTGTTCCCAGAGTACACTTATTAGCTCTACAAATTTTCCGAAAATTTTCCTCTTCAATAATGAGTTGATTTGATTTTCATCGTAATTTTTAGACATTTGGATATTTTTCGCACTTTTTTCACAAAATCGTCTTGTCTTCCCTAGTTATATCCAGATGCAGGGAGACATAACAGAAGAGCGAGCGAACTAAGATATTGGTTGGAAAGGAGCTTAGATCTTTCTTGGAAGTAGGAATTGGTAGAAATTATGGATTGTATAGGTTTGTGATGCTGCGCAAGAAATTGGATGTTGAGTCGGAGTTGCTGGCAAGCATATGCCTAAATTCACATTTTTTAAGCCTCACGCGGCCAATTTTTGTTCATTTGTTACAAATTTTTTGTATTTTTCACTAAACACGATACTTCGGCGCTATTTCAAGACGATAATTTTGATAGTAGATCCCTGATTTAGATTGTCAATATCTCGTTTTGTACGATTTTTCGAATTTTCAGGTAATAAGCACCGGTGGTGTGACGTACAAAAATGAGCCATGGCATCGAGAATGCTTCTGTTGTACAAATTGTAATACGTCATTAGCGGGCCAAAGATTCACATCGAAAGATGAGAAGCCCTATTGCGCCAATTGCTACGGTGAATTATTTGCGAAACGGTGCAATGCTTGCGTTAAACCGATCACAGGTTCTTTTTCTTAATCATTTTTTCTTTTTTTTGGTTATTTCGGACCCCTGCCATACGTCGCGGAGCAGCCTTACCCGCCATTGCTAGAAAAAATTTTACGCAAAGCGTGTATGACGCCGGCCAAACCGAGCCGAACCGAGTTTCGTATTTTTTGATCGATCGTCAGAACCATGACAGAATCACACATTCAGATTTTCACGAATTCTTTGGTCTTTGGTAAGGGTTTTGTAATCTGTCGAGTGGGATAAAAAATGAAACGGGATTCAGTGAAAAAATTGGGCCCACATCCTAGTCGTTTTTTCGAACTCACTAATATAGGTTGACATATTTCTTTACGATTCATTCATTTGTTTCGATATACAAATTGGTACTGATGCATGCCAGGCCGTGTATTCATTTTGCTTGCTTGCTTTTTTAACCATCGGCAGCTTTGACAGATAATGACCACTACTGCGAAAAAGAAACTCGAATCATTTTTGCAGAGAGAGAGAAAGATTTGCTTTTTTATTTAACCATGAGCAGCTTTGGCAGAAAATGACTGCTTCTGCAAAAAAAAAAAATCACTTGAGTAACTCTTTCAAAGAGAGAGAGAGAGATTTGCTTTTTTAATTAAGCATGAGCAGCTTTTGCAAAAAATAACTACTGTTGCAAAAAAAGTCACTTGAATCGCTTTTTCGGAGAGAAGGGGAGGGAGAAAAATGCGGAAGGGTTTGACTCAGCTTTCTGGAACTTAGCGGTTACACAGTGATTGTAATGATGACATATCTAAAATATAAAAATTAATCAACGGACCAAGAGTACTTTTTGGAAGGCAGCAATATGCATACATTCCTATTCAGTACCACAGTTGGACTTCGTTTGTA